GGCGGGCGGATTGCTCGAGGTCAGGAGTTCGAAACCAGCATGAGCAAGAGCGAGACCCCATCTCTACTAAAAAATAAAAATTAGCTGGACATGGTGGCGCATGCCTGTAGTCCCAGCTACTCGGGAGGCTGAGGCAGGAGGATCGCTTGAGCCCAGGAGTTTGAGGTTGCTGTGAGCTAGGCTGACTCCACGGCACTCACTCTAGCCTGGGCAACAAAGCGAGACTCTGTCTCAAAAAAAAAAAAAAGAAATACACAGTAATATTTTTTAAGGTGGGAAAAAAAAAACAGTCGTATGAACAGTGCAAGGTCTTTTCTTTCCAGAAACAACCTTTGCAGACTGGGAACATTTGGAGGCAGATTTAGGGTGCTGGTTCCACGCTGGGACTAGTTTACTAGATTTTGCCTAGTTTGCAAGTGGTAATGGCTTAGCTGAGGGGCTCCCTGCCAAGTCCTCTGTATCTCAGCCCTACTAAGTTGTGAACCACTCAGCACTTTGGTCCCAAGGCAGAAGGCTACATATGACCTACCTGTTTCCCTTTGGAACAACTGATCCCTCCCTCCCTTTTTGTTTTTCTAGGAGCCCTTTGGACTTAGAAAATGTGGCCTTCTGTGGCCGTGACTGTCCCTAGGTCTCTGCCTCTATTTAGCTAACCTAAGTGGTGGGGTGGGATTTCCCACTTTTAGTCTTAGAATATGATAGGTTTCATTCTATAAAAAAGGAAGAGGTGAAAGTTCTATTTCTGGTATGGTAGAGTAAGTTTCTACCAGACAAGCCCTTCTGAAGATAACTATAAATTCTAGACCAAAAAAAAAAAAAAAAAACTACAGCTATTTGACAGCTCCAGAGAGTAAAATCAAGCAGGTAGATGTACCCAAACCCTAAAAGAAAAAAATTTTAAAAAAGCAAGAAAAAAATTTAAAAAAAAAACACAAAAAAACACAAGCATGGCCAGGCGGGGTGGCTCACGCCTGTAATCCTAGCACTCTGGGAGGCTGAAGTGGGCGGATTGCTCAAGGTCAGGAGTTTGAAACCAGCCTGAGCAAGAGCGAGACCCCGTCTCTAACATAAATAGAAATTAATTGGCCAACTGATATATATAGAAAAAATTAGCCAGGCATGGTGGCACATGCCTGTAGTCCCAGCTACTCGGGAGGCTGAGGCAGGAGGATCGCTTGAGCCCAGGAGTTTGAGGTTGCTGTGAGCTAGGCTGACGCCACGGCACTCACTCTAGCCTGGGCACCAAAGTGAGACTCTTGTCTCAAAAAAAAAAAAAAAAAAATGATGGAGGCCACTGCGGGCACCATGGCTCATGCCAGTAATCCTAGCACTCTGGAAGTCTGAGGCCGGAGGATCGTTTGAGCTCAGGAGTTCTAGACCAGCCTGAGCAAGGGCGAGATCCCATCTCTATTAAAACAATGCAAAGAAATTCGCTGGAAAATAAAATATAAGGAAAGAAATGATGGAGGCCAGAAAACAGTGAAACTATCTTTACAATTCTAAAGAAAACTGTCAACCTGTGAAAAACGTCCTTCAAGATGTTGAAATAGATACTTTCAGATAGAAGAAAACTAAGAGAATTTGGGCAGCAGAAATACACTGTAAGAAATGCTAATGGAAGCTTTTCAGGCTTAAGGGAATGATACAGGGAGAAACTTGGAACATCAGGATGGATTGAAGAGCACTGGAGATGGAAAATTAAAAAAAAAAATTTTTCCTGTGTTTCTTAGAAATTTATATGACTGTTTAAAGTAAATATTACATTGTTTTGTAATCGTGTATGTAGACGTGGACTAGGTGTGGTGGGTGGCTCATGCCTGTAATCCCAATACTTTGGGAGGGAGAGGCGGTAGGATTATTTGAGGCCAGGAGTTCGAGACCAGCCTGGGCAATATAATGACATAATAAGACCCCTGTCTCTACTTAAAAAAAAAAATTATCTGGGTGTAGTGGTATGTACCTGTAGTCCCAGCTACTTGGGAGGCTGCGACAGGACGATCATTTATGCCCAGGAATTTGAGGTTGCAGTGAACTATGATCACACCACTGTACTACAGCCTGTGTGACAGAGACCTTGTCTCTAAGAAATGATTATGTAGATGTAACCCATATGACAAGTATAACATTAAAACAAAGGATGCGGGAGCAGAGGGTAAGTGGACCTATAACGTCTAAAGTTTTCTATGCTGTAAGTGGACTGGCATCATACTAACTAGACCCTGAAGTAGGCAAGGGTGTGTTTTTGTAACTCCTAGTGTAGTATTAACAAGGAAATGCTAGGCTGGGCGTGGGGGCTCACACCTGTAATCCTAGCACCATGGGAGGCCGAGGCAGGCGCATTGCTCAAGGTCAGGAGTTTGAAACCAGCCTCAGCAAGATTGAGACTCTGTCTCTACTATAAATAGAAAGAAAGTAAATGGCCAACTAAAATTACATAGAAAAAATTAGCTGGGCATGGTGGCGCATGCCTGTAGTCCCAGCTACTCAGGAGGCTGAGGCAGGAGGATCACCTGAGCCCAGGAGTTTGAGGTTGCTGTGAGCTAGGCTGATGCCATGGCACTCACTCTAGCCTGGACAACAAGCGAGACTCTGTCTCAAAAAAAAAAAAAAGGAAATGCTAAGAGATATGGTTAAAACACCATAAATTTAAATGGAATAATTTTAATGGATAATTTTAATGGATAATTTAATAATTTTAAATGGATAACTTTAAATGGAATTTTCAAGTTAATCCAAGAGAAGGCAGGAAAGGAGAAATGGGAAACCAAATGGTAGAACTAAATTCACCCATATCAATGATTCCATGAACTATTTTATTTGAAAGGAGAGGCGGCGGTGGGGACAGGTTGCATCCTCTACCTAGGGTACAAGCATGTGCAGCCGGGGAGACCAGGCAGGGCTTTGTCGCCATGTAGCCTGGGTATGGACACTCACCATGGCCTTGGCCCTGTTCGCAGTGCTTAAGCATGGAGACAGACAGAAGGAATGATACACACCCATGTTCCCATCATTCTGCCACTCCCATATTTTTGCTCACCATTGTTTGCTTTCTCATGTTGGTGAAGTTCTAGGTCATTCTAGCTAAGTGCTGTTGTATGACTACATTGGTCATTCTGTTCTATGACTAGATCAGACTTTACCCTCTCAACCGACGTTGGGTACTTCTATGGTTGGTTTGTTTTGAGACAGAGTCTCACTTTGTTGTTTGAGTGAGTGCCGTGGTGTCAGCCTAGCTCACAGCAACCTCAAACTCCTGGGCTCAAACGATCCTCCTGCCTCAGCCTCCCGATAGCTGGGACTACAGGCATGCGCCACCATGCCTGGCTAATTTTTTCTATATAGTTTTAGTTGGCCAATTAATTTGTTTCTATTTTTAGTAGAGACGGGGTCTCACTCTTGCTCAGTCTGGTCTCGAACTCCTGAGCTCAAATGATCCTCCCGCCTTGGTCTCCCAGAGTGCTAGGATTACAGCATGCACCAGCGTGCACAGCCGATTTCTGTTCATTATAAACTAACTACCCAAGGCCGGGCGCAGTGCCTCACACCTGTAATCCTAGCACTCTGGGAGGCCGAGGTGGGCGGATTGCTCAAGGTCAGGAGTTCGAAACCAGCCTGAGCAAGAGCGACACCCCGTCTGTACTATAAATAGGAAGAAATTAATTGGCCAACTAATATATATAGAAAAATTTAGCCGGGCATGGTGGCGCATGCCTGTAGTCCCAGCTATTTGGGAGGGTGAGACAGGAGGATTGCTTGAGCCCAGGAGTTTGAGGTTGCTGTGGGCAAGCCTGAAGCCAGGGCACTCACTCTAGCCTGGGCAACAGAGTGAGACTCTGTCTCAAAAAAAAGAAAGAAAGAAAGGAATGTATTGGCTCATGAGTCTAGAGGTTGGAAAGTCCAAGATTGAGGGGTCCGCATTCCGTGTGGGGCTTCCTGCAGTGTCATCACGTGGCGCAGGGCAGCTCTTGGGAGAGGGAGGTGGGGAATTAGGTTTCCAGCACATGAACTTCGGGGGTCACACTTAAACCACAGCACATGGTGGTGTCACATTCCTGTCCAAAGGGGTTCCAGCTTACCATGCTCTGGCCTTCCAGGAGGCCCATTTCCGCTGAGCACCCTGCGCTGAGCAGCACAGCCAGCCAGGAAGGGGCAGAGCTGGGGTACATGTTATGCACCCTGCCGCTCACTGAGGTCTGCGCCAATCAGCTGTGGGAGGGGCCCAAGGCCTGCACGTGGCCAGTCGTGGCCAGTCGCCCTGTTTTCAGGAGGGTAACAGTAGGAGCTCCCGTTTCTAGAGTCACTCATCGGGGCATCCTGTGCCAGGTGGGTGGGAGGCCTCACTCAGATCTTAGCTCCAGGAGCCCCTCCAGCCGGGGAGGCAGCCCAAGTCTGACCCCAGTGCAAGGCCAGATCTCCCCCTCTGCCCGGTGAGGGCAGGGACAAGGTCTGTCTCATGACCAACGTCTCCAGCACTTGTCACAGTGATGGCTCTGAGTAAGTGATGGGTCATTCATTCATTCAACATCAAGCCGTTTGTCTTGGTGCTCATTCGCATTTTGTTTTTGGAGACAGAGTCTCACTTTGTTGCCCAGGCTAGAGTGAGTGTCGTGGCGTCAGCCTAGCTCACAGCAACCTCAAACTCCTGGGCTCAAGCGATCCTCCTGCCTCAGCCTCCCGAGTAGCTGGGACCACAGGCATGCGCCACCATGCCCCGCTAATTTTTTTCTATATATATTAGTTGGCCAATTAGTTTCTTCCTATTTATAGTAGAGACGGGGTCTCGCTCTTGCTCAGGCTGGTTTCGAACTCCTGACCTCGTGCAATCCGCCCGCTTCTGCCTCCCAGAGAGCTAGGATTACGGGCATGAGCCACCGCGCTGGGCTACCTTCGCCTTTCTTTAGCTATGGCTACGGTGCCTTGGGAGCCCCTCTGCCGCCCCTCCCAGTGCTCCCAGAGCGCCCCAAGGCCGTGCCTCGTGCAATGGCAGCAGAAAGAGTATCCACTGTTCCAATCTGATTTTATTGAAAAGGAAACATACAAAAATCATGTACAAAAAAAATTAACCAAACATGTACAGAAAATTCATTCCGGTATCTACAGCAGCGCATATACAGTATTTTACAGGCTGGGCCATCCCTCCCCGCTCCCAGACTCCTCCCTCTTCTGAGATCCCCCCTCCCTGACTCCCGGTCTTCCCCCCAGCGCTTCGCCCTGGGGGCTAAGGCTGGGGCGGCTTCAGCCCAAATCTCCCACCCCCCAAATGAATGCCAGTGGTCACACGTGCTCTCTCTAAACCTATGCAATGGGACTGATGGGGCGGGGGTGGTCACGGGCAGAGCACAGGATTCACAGTCTGGGCCCCTCCTGGCCACCCCCCATGAAGGTGAGGCAGGCACGCCCCCACCCGCCGCTGGCTCGGGGAACATGGCTGGGCGGCCAGCGGAGCCCCCCATTCTCTGTCTCCAGGAGGCTAGTGGTCAGGTTTGGCTCATTTGCTCTTCACGGGCCCCCTCCCCTGGAGGAGGGGGCAAAGCACCAGGGGCCTGCGGCCAGGCCCAAAGTGAAGGAGCACTGGGAGGAGACCCCCGCAGTGTCACCCCTGCAGCTGGAACGGGCAGCCAGCACCAGCAGCCTTTCCTGAGATGGTGGTGGGCGGCAGAGGCGGGCGGCTCAGTCCCCACCCCCTCGGTCACCGCCGCCTTCAGATGCTCAATCCGTCAGCCCTCCCCCCTGGCCTCTTGCCAGGGGACCCAGGAGTCCACATCTCCATCAGTGCACCCCAGGCGGCCGGGGCTGGAGTGGCTGTCTCAGCCCCGACCCTGGGACGGGCAGGGCTGGTAGTCCAGTATGCTACATGGTGCAGAAAGAGTCCCCCGTGCTGGCCAGGGTGTCAGGAGGTGAGAGGGTCCTGCCCCCCAAGTCTCCGACGTCCACCGGGCGGGTGCAGGCACCTAATTGGGCTCCATCTCAGGGGCTCTGTGGCCCCTGGGTAGGGGCAGGAGTCCCATGATGAGATTGTACAGGACCCTCCAGGGCGAGGGGCGGTGTCTCTGCTGCTCCTCTTGTCTCTGGGGAAGAAGGAAGAAGGGGAGGTTAGCTGGGCAGGCGGCGACAGAATGTGGGGTCACGCGGAAGGGTAGAGAGGGGTGAGGTTAAGCTTCCACCAAACTTATCCCAGCTCCTCCGCCCACCCGGGCCACAGGAGACCAGGAGGGAGAGGACATGGAACTCTCTGCGCAGAGCCCGGGGGGACAGGGCAGGCGCTCTGCACACCTTAGCTGTGACCACCCTCCTTTGCTGTGCAGACAAGAAAGCCACCCACCCGAGTCCCGCCAGGGCTGAACTGCAACCCGTCCTGCCCGCCCCTGAAAAGCTGGTGAGATGAGGAGAAAGGAGCAGGGAGCCCATAGTCTCAGCAGTTCTAGAACAATCTGTGGAAGGAGAGTTCTAGAACAATCTGTTCCCAGTTCACCGCCTGTGCTGAGGCTTCGCATAAGGACTTCCAGGCAGAGCTGGGATGCATGTGACCTCAGGGAAACCCCTGCCCTGTCCCCAGCGGCAGGATGAGGACTACGGATAGCCCAGCTCAGCTCCAAAACGCCAGGCAGTGGGAACGGAGGAAGGGAGCCAGGCACGAGGAGAGACTCCGCACCAGCAAAAATGAAAAATATTAAGAAATATCCGAATAGCTCCAGCAGTCTCCCACAGACAGCCCACACTGAGCGCAGAGCCGGGCCCTGTGCCAGGCAGGGTCCACCTAGCCCCCAGAGACAGAGGGGAGGAGAAATCCATTTCACAGGGCAGCTAAATGTCCCTAAGGTCCCCGCAGGCCAGGCAGGGAGACGCTTCCTCAACACTCCCACCAACTCTTGCGGCCACATGGTCCAGCAAGGCTGCAAGCTAGCAATGGCCGAGCAAGGCCGATGGCAGGCAGGCCACTCGGGTGTCCACTCTGGGGACACACCCAGGGGCGCACCCGGAGATGTGCATCAGTTGGAAGGGGAAAAAGCCTACAAATCAAATCTGAAATATACTTTAAACTATATCCTAGGTATCCCCTGCTGGGGATCCTGTGCCCATCCAATAGAATACTATGTAGCAGTGAAAATGGATGAATGCAGGCGCCCGGGCCCACATGGGTGAATCTCAAACGCGACACCGAGGGGACAAGCAGCTGGCAGAGAACAAACACTGCAGCTTGCACGTTCAGCTAAAAATGCCCCGTAATCCTACGCATTGTTCCCGGCCTGGTAAATGCGCAGTAAGAGACCCGAGACCCGGCACCTGCAGGGGACCGAGGCATGCCAACTTGAAGGTTTCCTTTGCAAGGAGAGAGGGGACAGGGATGGGGAGGGGCACAAAGAGCTTCACAACATCCGTGTTTTTGTTTTGTTCTGAGTCTTAGGGAGCAGGAATGCGGCTGCACTGCAGCCCGGGCAGAGCGGGGCGGTGGGCGCAGGATGTTTGTCACTCTCGGCCCTGCAGGCCTCCAGCGTTGTTTGAAAGAGGCAGCCGAGGGTTTGGGGGGCGGGGCTCCCGCGGGGGCGGGGCTCCAGGGCCCTCCCTCCCCTCCCCCAGCCCGCCCGGCGCCCGGGAAGCGGAGCGCGCGCTGCGGCCGCGCGGGAGCGGGAGCCGGGGGCGGGCGCGGCCACGCCGCCGCTGCTGACTCACCGGCTATAAATAGCCGCGGATATATGAGCCGCTCCGCCGAGCGCCGCCCTCAGTCCCCGCGGCCGCGGGCCACGGGCGCGGCGCGGCTCTCGCGGCGGCCTCGGTGCCGCCAGGGCCGTGCCAGCCGTGTCGCAGGGCCCGCCGGCGGATCCGCGGGCACGCCGCCCCCGCCCCCACCTGCCCGTCCCCGGCGCGACCCCGCCGCGCAGGGCGGCAGCAGCTGCCGCACATCTGGCGGGGCCCGCCTGCAGCCCCCTCCCCGGCGGGAAGTCCCACCTGCCGTCTGCCCCTCCCCCAGCACTTACCCGCCGCTCGTACTGCGCGTTGAGGTCGTCCGCCATCCGCCGCAGCTGGGCCCCGATCTCCCGGGCCCACTGCTCCTCCTCCCCACGCACTCCCGGGGCCGCCTGGGTGGGACCGCCCGCCAGGGCCCCCGGGGCGCTGGGGACGGGCGACTCCAGGTGCTGCTCTGCCAGCGAGAGCGAGGGCTGAGGACCTTCGAGAAGCAGAGGGGCGCGGTCACCACCCACCAGGCCTCAGGCCCTGGGCGCCCAGGAGGGACCCGGTAGCCAGGGCCTGCTGCCCCTTCCCCGGCCGCCTGCGCGCCGTCCCCGCCTCATTTCTAGCGATTCCTTTCTCCCCTCTTAGAGCCAGATTTCCTGGCTCCTCCTTCCCAAGCACTAGAAAGCGGTGAGGGGACCTGGGAAGGCCTCTCTGGGGTCACCTGTCTGACCCCAGCTGACTCTCCACTGCCCGTGTCGGGCTGCAAGGCCTTCCTCTTATCCGACCTAAGGACCTGTGTTCCACTACGGGAGCAAATGTCGCCTGTTCCATTAGACAGACAGGGATACTGAGGCCCGTCCTTAAAAAGTGTCCCAAGGTCATTCAGGGATACAGCGACTGACCCCACCCAGAGTCACAAGCCTCAGGTCTCCTTCCCTCTCGTGTCCAACCACAGTGAGGCCACACCCCCGGATGTGGCAAAGTCCTGGAGACCAGAAGGCCAGACCGTGGCGGCTTCAGAGCACGGGCCTGGGGGTTGGGACGCGGGAGAGGCCTTCCTGCCCCACCCCCACCCCTTCTGAGCTCCCCGGAGGTCTCTCCGCGCCACCCCCTGACCCCCGGGTTTTCAGCTTGTCCCACCACACCAGGTCCTGGCATGAGGGCTCACTAAGGCCCAAAACCAGGGCGTCAATTTCCAGGTCCGTGACTCTGGTCTCCAAATCGGGATCCTTGTCCCCCGCAGCCTGGAACTGAGTTTTCTCTTTTCTTACACCCCTGGGCTCCCGGGACTGGGTGGGGGATGGGGGGACCGGGACAATCGTTCCCCTGCTACCCTCTGTGCGGGCGGGGAGGAGGTCCCCGGGCACCACAGGGTTAACAGCCCATCAGGCAGGGGACCTTTAACCCTTCCCTCCCCAGACTCACCCACTCCCCGAGGGGACTTTCCCAACACAATGGCCCCTCCCCCTCTCCTTCCTCCTCCCGGACCGTGGACAGGGCCAGCGCGGCCCAAAGAGATGCAAATAAAGGCCGGGGGCCCTCGACCCCTCCCCAAAGTCCAGAGGTGACAGTCCTCCCACTCTGCCCACACTTTCTTCCACTGCAGTCGTCAAGGGGGTCACGGGGACCCAGGCTGGGGGAGGGGAGCTGGGAAACAGCTGCTGCCTGAGGCCCGGAAAAGGCAGCGGGCTGCCACCCGGGGACTGCAGTCAGATTCCAGGAGGGACTTCCCGCTCGACCTGCCCCCGCCGCCCCCAGACTCCCACTCGGTCTTCCTGCTTCTTGCAACACAAAGACCACGTTGGCCACACCCTCCCAGTGGCCCGGCCGGGCTCCGCCACCCCTCCGCTCCCACTTCTGCAGTTCCTGCGTGGCTCTCCGGCCTCTCCTTCCCCGGCTCCCTCGGGCGCGGGCGTGGGGCAGGCACTCACCGTCCGGGCGCGGGCCTCGGGGCCGGCTGCGGGGACCCCCAGGCCAGCGGGGGCCCCCCAGGGCGGCGGTGACGGCGGGCGGGGCGGTGGGGGCGCAGAGGTAGGCGGCGGGGAGCAGGGCGGGGGCGGCGGGGGCAGCGGGCAGGCCGGGCTCGCAGAGGCCGCAGGACACAGCCGAGGGCACCAGGCGGCCGAGCGGGAAGGGGCGCGGGCCGTCGCGGGCCAGGCCCTCTACGGGCTCCGGGGAGCTGCCCTCCTGGCGTGCGCGGGCCATGGCGCTCCCTGGGGCCTGCGGGACACGAAGGAGGGGCAGGTCAGCCGGGAAGTGCGGGGGCCGCCCGGGCCCCACCGCGCCCCCTCCCCGGCTCAGATCCTAGGCGGAGGGGGGCCGGTGCGTGTGATGCGGAGGGGTGATGGCCCCCCCAAGACACACCCAACTGGATGACACAGGCATGGGGCTGCCAGGACAGCCTCCCATACACACGGAGATGGGCACACGAGTGACCAGGAGGTCCAGGACCCGGGCGGAGGGGTCCGCAGGTGTGTGTGTCTGCGGGTTGTGGCAGCGCGCAGCACAAATCCACTCTACCGCGGACCCACACAGAGCGCGGGCCGGTGGGACAAACTTGGGGACACAGTGATGGGCACACAGGAGGGCAGGAGGCCGGGAGGGCTCCGCAACACACACGGGGACTCACACAGGACCCAGATGAGAAGACTGCTGGGGGTGTGTATGGGGAGTGTGTGAAGAGTTCACGACACACACACACACTCGCACCTGGCCAGCCTGACCTCCCACCCTGTCTCCTCGCACTTGCACACAAACGTTGAGATGATCCAGTCTTAGACACTGCTAGTGACTACACAAGACACACACACAGGGCCCATCGCAAGCACTCTGCACACACTGCACACCGGCTGGCACACCCCTCTGACCCCCAACACGTGTGTGCAAACTGTCAAAGTCTCACACGCTGACCCACTACGGCTATGCCCAGGGACACACACTGACACAATGCAGCTGTCACAAACCCACACAACATAGGCACTGCCTGAATTCTCCAACAACACGCCCCTCTCCACACGCATACACCCCGAGATAAGACCCGCACACCCCAGGACTCACATACATGCCAACACGAAACAGACACCCACGGACACACATGGCTCCACGCCACCAAAACACACCCACATGTCACCAACTCTCGGAGCTCAAGACAGGTAAATCAGGCACATGCCATCAGACACCGAGGCATCACCGATGACACGCAGACACCATCGCACCCTCCTCTCCTAACCCCAAAACACCATCAGCAACTGTGGGCACGGACACACACACTCACACGCACACGCATGCCCGACGGCTAACTCTAATCCCGCACAGCCCGGCGGCAGCGCACACACCTCGAGCTCCGACAGCAAACACTGGTCTCACGTGACTGACATAAACACTACACACACGCAGCCCACATGACACACATGAGCCAGCGATCGCAGAGACAAGCCCCTCAGACCCAACACACACACGCACACACACACACAGACTCAGACACAGCTCCATCCAAGAGGCTGTCACCAGCACCCGCCGCCTGCACGGCGCAGACCCCACAGAGCCTCGGTCCTCAATTCCCAGACGCTGGTGCCAGACGCAGCAGCCAAACACAGACGGAGACAGCCCCCCGCCACGCACACACACCTGACAAGTCACACAGTCACCTGGACAGAAAACAGACGTCGGCATGCAGCAGGCACACCGTCAGACCCGCAGGGCAAAGGGACATGCCCCGGAGACACGCGCAGGGAGACAGCCACAGACAAGCCAGGACACACAAACACCATGGTCAGGAAAGACACACGCACAGAAACACACAAGCGGCTCACTCAAGCAACACACAAACACACCAGGATCACACGCACCCAGGCAACACCGACTCCCACGACTCGTCACCCCCAAACAGCACACGCGGACAACTCTCAGGGACAGCACACACACAGGTACGCCCAGCCCGCGGGCACAGCGCACAGTGACAGAACCCCGCGCAAACACACGCGGAGACTCACGCCTGCACCCCGACGGGTCAGGAACCCCAACATTCCTCTGGATCGACACCGCCACTCCCTGCAGACCCCAGCACAAACTCAGAGGCAGACACACGCACACACCCAGGCGAGACACCTGCAGATCCACAACCCCGCACACGCGCGCTCCCACGGCGGTCCCAGACGCCCCCTCCGCTGTCACAGCACCCCCCCACCGCCGCCACGTGCGCCCGCCCCGCCCGCCAGGCGAGCGCGGGGCCAATAACCGGCTGTTGCTGGGGCGCAGCCCCCGCCCGCAGAAGCCGCAGACTCCGCGGCCCGCGAGCCGCCCCCTGTCGCCGCCCCCAGCGGGTGCGCGCCCTGGGTGTGGCCGCCCCTCTGTGCCGCCCCCCCCGCCCCTCCCGGACAGGGGGCTGGGGCAACCTGGGGTCGACTCTCCTCCCCGGGCCACACTGGCCACCAGGGGGCGCTGCCGAGCCCGCACCCCATTGTTTGTAAACAAACCCGCCAGACCGCTGAGGCACCTGTGCGCCCAGACTGGGCGCCCGACTGCCTAAGTGCCTCCCGCCCAGCGACCCCACTCCGGGCTCCCTCGTGGGGGTGGGGGGAGGCAAGGTGTAGCAATGCAGGGCGCCCGCACCGCTCTCTGAGTGCACGCCCGTCACCTCCTCCAGGGAGCCCACCCGGCCTGAACGATCGCCACCGGCGGGGATTCCGGGTGCTCACACTCACCCCGGGGGCATGAACACGCCGGAGGGGGCGGCGATGGGGGCGGGCGGCTTCCTTCGGGAGGGCGCGCCCGCCGAGCGCCGCTCGCTGCGGCGGCCGCTGCTGCTGCTGCTCTAACTGCAGTGGCGGCTGCTGCTGCTGCTGCTGCTGCGCTCCGGGCCGCGGGCGCGTCCGCGTCGTGGCCGCCGCCGCCGATCTCGCTGGTGTCGCCGCCGCTGCCGCCGGGCGCCCGCTCGCATGTGGCTCGCGCCGCGTCTCAGGCCGCCCGGCGGATCCGGCCGCTCCCCCCGCCCCGCCCCGCCCCTGCCCGGCGGGTCCCACGCCCCGCCCCCGCGTGACGCCACGGCCCCGCCCGCCGCCGCGGACAAGTCGGGACTTGCAGGCGCGCGCCGCGCCCCCCTCCGCGCGGGGGGTTCCCTGCAGCCCGGGCGGAGGACCGAGCGCGGGCGGGGACGCCCAGACGCCGGGACAGTCGGACACACACTGACACACTGACACACTGACTGGGACCCACGGATCCACACCCCCAGAGACCAGAGACTCACACACCCACGGACCGACTGGCGCTCCGGGGTACACAAAGTCACGTGCTCACAGAGCCAAAGGGACGGAGATTCACAGCCACGTAGATGCACACTATGGACAGGGCCATAGCACGCAAACTCACACACCGATGGGACACACACCTAGACACAAATACACAGACTGACTAGCAGACGGGCAAACTGACACAACGACAGGCCACAACTGATGAGCACAGCGAGCCCCACGACTGTGTTCACAAACGTCCCCACTGAGCACTCACAACACACACACACACACACACACAGTGGTGCACCCACACAGACACTGGCTCAGTGCTTACCAGGAAATACAAACTTCCTGATAGGCACAGTTAGGGACACACAGACACAGTCACCTGTTACGGGACACCTGGACACACAGCCTAATCCAACCTGTACTCCCACAGGGGCACACGCAAACACACCCCTGCAACGTCAGTGCTAGCACATTGCCACTATCAGAAAGTGGCACTCAGAGCATAGAGCAAATCAGACACAGAAGAAACTGACACCCCTACACATAGTCACAAAGTCACACCTGTGACGGGTTCCTGCGAACTGGCCCACCGACAGGACACAGGACGCACTCTGGAGCACGCACACCTGGCCACGCTCACCGCGAATATGGCCCGGGACACACCGCGAGAAGGAAGCCCTGGGCGCCTGGCACGGACATGCCCGGGCAGACCCCACACCAAATTTCATCCTGTCTCGTGGCTTTCTGTTCCCTTTCCCTTTTCACTTTCTCACACGGTCACTTCCCTCCCCCGCTCTGATTCTGTGACTTTTGTCCTTTCTTCCCCGAAAGCCCTGGACTCCTACCTCCCCTGCACTGTCCAGTCCCCCTGGATCTCGCCCAAACTAATCACCTGGGGAGAGAGTGAGTCACCCTGGAGTGCCCAGCGCTGGGCTGGCTGAGAAAGGGTGTCAGACCTCTCCCACTTGGCTCCCTGCGCCACCAGGCCCTTAGATGGCAGAAAAGAAGCAGGAAATCCAAATCTCATGTGAAATCTCCCTAAGTTAAATATTGGGGACTCATCAACTTTCCTTCCTCCTTCCCTTTCCTCAGTCATTCATTCATTCCCCTTTCCTTCCTCCCAGTGCTTTTCAAACTGGGGTCATAAATAAACTGAAGATTATGAAATCACTTTTGTGGATCTTGTTTGTTTTTTTTTTTCCACTTGAGTTTATTGAGGTGTATTTGCACACAATATAATTCACTTTTTTTTTTTTTGAGACAAGGTCTCACTTTGTCACCCAGTCTAGAGTATAGTGGCTTTATCATAGCTCACTGCAACCTTAAGCTTCTGAGCTCAAGCCAGCCTCCTGGTTTAGCCTCCCAAGTAGCTGGGACTACAGGCATGCGCCACCACAGCTGGCTAATTTTTTTAGCTTTTTTTTTTTTTGAGACGGAGTCTCACTCTTTTGCCAGGGTAGAGTGCCATGGTGTCAGCCTAGCTCACAGCAACCTCCAACTCCTGGACTCAAGTGATCCTCCTCCCGAATAGCTGGGACTATAGGCACATGTCACCATGCCCGGCTAATTTTTTCTATATATTTTTAGTTGGCCAATTAATTTGTTTCTATTTATAGTAAAGACGGGTCTCACTCTTGCTCAGGCTGGTCTCAAACTCCTGACTTTGAGTGATCCTCCCGCCTTGGCCTCCTAGAGTGCTAGGATTACAAGCATGAGCCACCACGCCCAGCCCTGGCTAATTTAAAAAAAAAAAATTCTTGTAGAGGCCTGGCTTGGTGGCTCACTCCTGTAATCCTAGCACTCTGGGAGGCCGAGGCGGGTGGATCACTCAAGGTCAGGAGTTTGAGACCAGCCTGAGTAAGAGCGAGACCCCGTCTCTACTTAAAGTAGAAAGAACGTAATTGGCCAACTAATATATATAGACAAAACTAACCGGGCATGATGGCGCATGCCTGTAGTCCCAGCTACTTCTGAAGGCTGAGGCAGGAGGATCACTTGAGCCCAGGAGTTCGAGGTTGCTATGAGCCAGCCTGACGCCACAGCATTCTATCTTGGGCAACAGAGTGAGACTCTGTCTCAAAAAAAAAAAATTTTTTTTTTTTTTTGTAGAGATGGACTTTATCTTTGGTATCTAGGCTGGTCTTGAACTCCTGGCCTCAAGGGATCCTCCTGCCTTGGCCTACTCAAAGTGTTGGGATTACAGGTGTGAGCCACTGCACCCAACAAATTCAATCGTTTTAGGTGTATAGTTGGTGAGTCTTGACAAAAGTGCACATTGCATACCCCCACAATTGAGGTAGAGACTATTCCCATTGCCCCAAATACTTCCATTGTGACCCTTTCTAGTAACTTTAGTGGCCCTTGAGAATGTTTTAAAAATACATTATAGAATACAATTTTTAAAAATCATAAAGTCAAGAGAAAGTGCTCTTTTGTGAAAATGTTATTTGTATACATACAGTGAGTACACACCAGGTTGCAAAGAAAGTATATTTCTGATTGCTGATCCAGTTCTTTGAGCAATGCTATTTTAGACACTTATTAATTGAGATCATGCATGGAAGTTATTTAGTGCAGAATTGGAAACAGTGCCTAGTAAATGTTAGCTAGTATCACTAATATAACTAATTATTGCCCAGTGTTTGCTTTGTGCCTGACAGTCGAGGGGGGGCAGGCTCTAGCCCTCTGCTAGTTCATGGCCCAGCCTGCACCCTTACTCACCAATCAGTGCCCTCAGGCTGCCCAAGGCAGGACTAGATACCAGGAGGCCAGATGTTCTAGAGTGTTCTTCTGAGAAGAAAATGAGTATGAAGGACAGCGAGAATCTGGCTTGATGGCTGGAGGTGGGAGAGAGTGGGAGAGGCCCAAGTGTCTCCTAGGCCTTAAGCATGTCACCAGTCAAGATCCTCCCGATTATCTAGTTCAGACCCTGTCCCGAATTCTGGCATCCTATCACACCCCACTAAGGTCTCAAATTCAAGAGCCATCATTAAATAAATGAGAGAGATGAGTCCAGTGTGAGACAACAGGGAGCGGTGGGGATTGTGGCTAAGTGGAAAAAGTGAGTTCCTTGTAGAGGCATCCAAATTCAAAATGTCAAACTGTGTGGGCAAAGAAAAAAAAGTTTGTGGCTGGGTCAAGGACTGCCTTTCTAAGACCCCCCCTAATACCCTTGGGGAACAGGGAGAGAGCAGGCATCTTCCCTACCCTAGCAGGTCTCCAGGGATCAAGGGATCAGGGAAGTGGAGGGAGTCCCAAAGAGCCAGAAAATTGGGGGAGGGGGACAGTTGGGCTTAGCTTAGACCAGGGTGTCTCAGCCTTAGCTCTATTGACATTTTGGGCTGAATGACTCTTTGTTGTCGGGGGGCTGTCTTGGGCACTGTGGGATGCTAGTAGCACCCCTTCCCTTTGTGACAACCGAAAATACCTCTAGACATTGCCAAATATTCCCTAAAGGGGGCAAAAATCGCCCCAGACTGAAAACAATTGGCCAAGACAAATCAGCCAGAGTTCCCAGGGCTGTGACCTGTCCCCACAAGCCTGCATGCAGATCTCACTACAGAGCCTGGGTTCTGAGTCTCTGAGGCCTGAGTTAGAATTCCCAGTTCTGCCACCTGCTGGCTATGTGTGAGGTTGGGGTTGGGCAAGTGGTCATGGTCTCTGTGCCTTAGTTTCCTCATCTGTGAGTTGGGACAGCAAAAGTCCCATAAGATTGTGCGGAGTGTGAAGGACAATAAAAATAAAGTACTAGGGCATACTGGATGCTTAATACATGCTCCTACGACCAGTGGGAGGTCCCCTGACTCTCTGAGAATCCAAACAAGGACCTGGAGGTAAGATCCTCAGGCTGGGGCCCGGGTTTCAAACCGGTGGCCTGCGGGCCAGCCACTAGTGTGCTTTCTTAATCTGTATATTTCTCATTTTGAGTATTAATGCCTCTCACGGGGCCTCACAGCACAGAGGGGTGATAAAGCACCCAGACATTGGAGCTAGTCCACCTGGGTTCAAATGATGACCTTGAGCCAGTAGCTTCCCCTCTCTGTGCCTCAGTTTCCTCATCTGTGCAAAGGGGATGTCCATAGGACCAAAAATATTGTGATGATTAAATAAGTTAATGTTTGTAACAGACTCAGAACTGTGCTCGGCAGTAGTAGGCCCGGCGTGAAGTGCTGGTTCAAGAGACTAGGTGTCCCGGCTAGTTTACTGCAGATGCGACCGTCCCCAAGATCTGGTCTGCCATTCCGGGGAAGGAGATTTCGCAGCACGGGAAGAGGGGGAGTTGGGAAGGACTTAACTTTTCACTGCGGGGCCTGAACCTGAGTCCCGGCTTTCCGTGGCGGGGACCGGGCCTCCTGGGGTGCCCTGGGCGCGGCGGCCCTGCAGCCCGGAGGCTGGACCGGAGCCGGGTGGGGGCTGGGCGGGGGCGCCGGCGTCCGCGGGTCCGAGCGGCCGGCGCGCGTGTGAAGGTTACCGCTTCCCGGCGGGCGGGGGCCGCGCGCTGTTGCTGGGGTCTGCGGGGCCTGCCTGCGCCCGCGCCCCCCCTCCTTCCCGGCCAGCCAGTGAGCGGTACCCGCCGCCGTTGCCAGGGGAAACTCGCCGCCCCGTTACCCAGCAACAAGCCTGGCCCAACCAGGCGCGAGGACCCTCAGGCCCCGCCCGCCGCTGCCCACTGCGTGCCCAATGCCAGGCGGGCAGAGCCGGCCCGGCTCCCGGAGACGGCGAGCGCGCTCATTGGCCGCGCCGCGCCCGCCCGCCCGCCGGATCTAGGGGAGCCCTCGGCGCGGGGGGCGGGGAGCCGGCCCCGGGGAGCCGCCGGGGCGCGGCCTGCCAGCCTGCGGCCGGCTGGGGTGAGACCGGGGCTGGGCACCGTCCACCGCCGTGCCCCTCCTGCCCTACACCCTTGGGTGAGGATGGGCACTTGGGGCGGACTGGAAACAGGGCTGCGCATCCTGTCCCTAACCCCAGGAAGTTGGCCTTGTGAAAATAAGACGCCAAGTGTCCCCCTTCCAGAAGGAGACCTGAGCACCCTGGCCCCAGGGAGACAGGGACTGGTCGTCCCCCACAAACAGCATTCAGGCGTCGTGGCTCTTGGATTAGGGGCTGAGGATCCTTCCCGGAAGAGAACCCAGGCGTCTTGACCCCATAAAAATAGGGGTGCCCCTGCCCCCTCTAAAAGGCCCGGGGCGTGTCTGCTCCTGTGAAAGTTAGGACTGAGCATGCCACCCCCATAGAAAACGTGGCCTCAGGCCTTTGAGCCCCAGGCCCCAAGATGCCTCAGAGCTCCCTGGCATCCCGGTCCTCACATGTTGATACTGGAAGACACTCCTGTCCCCTACAGTCACCAGGCCCTCAGGTGTCCAATTCACCCGGATGACCACCTGCCCAGCTCCAAGGTGCAGACCTGCCCACTTCCCTTCCCTCTGAGCCCTTTCCCCCAGGGTCCGGTGTGTTGGTCTCCCAGGAGCCGGGTGTGTGACTTCAGAGCCACTTTCTCTACTCCTTGGCACCTGACCTCCCCCACTGTGCCTGGGTCCCAGGCCTCATGGTGCCAAGGAATCTGGAGTCCAAGCCCGGAGTCTCAGGTCCTCCAGACACTTGGCGAGACAGCGGTGTGGCGAGGGAGGGAGGAAGGGGGCACTGGGTCTCCCCAGTGCCAGACCCTGGGATGCCCGAGCCCCCAGGTCTGCAAGATCCAGCCTCTTGGCACCGGTAGGTGGCCACCGTGGATCCGGGCAGGGCTGGGAGCCCCCGGCCTCAAGGGACCTGGATGTGAGTCCCTGGGTCACTTCCCAGAGACCCACATTCCTCAGCCCCTTCCCTCCCCAGGGAGTCCCAAGGCAGCCGAGCCCTCGGCTCCAGCCCGGGCTCCAGCCCCCAGCTCCCGGCTCGGTGAGCCCAGGTGCGGCCGCCCCTACCCTGGTACCTGGGGGGGCGGAGTCGAGGATTACTCAGCCTCCAGAATGAGGCGATGACATCATCCTGGGGGGGGTGACTAATGGCCGCGATGGGGGGGCGGGGAAGTTTACCCGGTAACAGCGGCTGCCGCTCGCCCCGCCCCCGGGAAGGGCCAGGAGGGGGAGGCAGAGCGCGCACACACACACACACGCACACGCACACACACACACACAAACACACACACGCGCACACACACACACAAGCCCACCCAGCACCCCTCCCCCAGCGTCCCACATCCAAGTCTCCTGGGGCAAGGGCAGGGATGGGTGTGTGTGTGTGTGTGTGTGTGTGTGTGATTGTGTTTGTGTGCTGGAGAGTTCTCTTTAGGTCTGTGGTCAGTGTGCTGTTGTGTCAGCATATTAGGGTGGCGGTTGTGGCAGTATGCTATTGTGTGTCAGTGTGATGGTGTCACCATGCTACATTTGTCACAATGCTACATGTGTCATGGGGCTGCTGTGACAATGTGATTGTGTGTCAGTATGCTGTTGTGTGATGTTCTGGTGTGCTGTGTGTGAGTGTGATGGTGCGACGAGCATGCTGTTCTGTGCAGTGTGTGGTGCGTGTCAGTGAGACGGTGTGGGTCCATGTGATTGTGCTTGTGTGACACTGGATTGTGTGTTTCAGAGTGATGTGTGTCAGTGGGAAGGTTTATGAATGTGCCATGTCACTATACTGTTGTGTTAGTGTAGTTGTATGTACCTTGGCAATGCTGTGTGTTGGCGACATTGTGCGTATGTCATGGTGATGGTGTGTGTGCATTCAATGCTCTGTGTACATGAGACTGTGTGTGCCACTGTGTGTGTCACTGGTATTTGTGTTATGCTGTGTGTGGTGGGACTGTGTGTCAGTGTGACAGTGTGTGCCAACGTGCTTTACCGTGTGTTGGGGAAGATGTGCATGCATGTTACTATTATTGTGTGTGTCTGGACAACGTTGTGTATGGTGGGATCATGTGTGTGACATTGTGATTGCTTCTGAAATATGTGCCTGTGGGGCTGTGTGTCACAGAGAATGTGTGCATTTGTGCAATGTGTACACCACTGTGGTTGTGTTTATCAGAGTGACGTTGTGTGTCCATGGGACTGTGTATATGTTAGTCAGATTGTGTGTGTCTGCACAGTCTTGTGTCTCATTGTGATTGAATGTATCGTTGTTGTGATTGTATCACTGTGATAGCAAGTGTCAGGGCCAATTAGCTGTGGGGTTGTGAGGGTGTCACTGTGTTGATTGTGTGGCACTGATATTGCGTGTCTTGGGGTGATGTGTTCTAGAGACTGTGCATATGTCATAAAGGTGACCTGTGCCTGGGCAGCGCTGTGTGTCACTGTGATTGTGGGTTTGGGCAGTGCTGTGTGTCCTGGGACTGTGTCTGTGTCGCTGCGATTTTGTGTGTCTGTGTGACGCTGTGTGTCACTACATGCTTCTGGGACCGTGCGTTTGTCGCTGTGTGTGTCATTGTGATTGTGGGGGAGCGATGCTGCGTGTCCCTGGGACAGTGTGTGTGTGTGCGTGTGCGCGTGTGCGCGCGCGCCACTGCGATGGTGTCAGCGCGCTTCTCGGGGTGTCGGGGGAAGGTGCGCGTGTCTCCAGGCCTCCTGCCCGAGAACAGCAGCGCTGCGCTCTGATTGGCTGCCGCCTCGCCAGTGAGGAGCTCCCGAATCCTGCGGTAACTTGGTAACTTGGTGACTCGGCCCGCCGCAGCCGCGGGGCTGGGGGCGGGGGCTGGGGGGCTGGGGGGCTGGGGGCAGGGCGACCCCTGGCCTGGGCGCCCCTCTCGGCCCTGCCTCGCCCCTGCATGCCCACCTCACTCTCTGCGTCCCAGTCCTCTACTCTGGCTCCGTCTCCCTCACCTTGTGTCGCTGTCCCTATCTCCGCCACTCGCTTGGTCTCTCTGTCTCTGTCTCCCCCTTATTTATCTCTCCCTATCTCTGTCTCCCTGTGGCTCTCTGTCTCCCAGGTCCCAGCTTTGCTTCTTCCTTCTCTGTCTCACCCATCCACCTTGCCAGGACTGTCTCTGTCTTCCCTTTCCTGTCTCTGTCAACACCATCTCTGTCTCTGTCTCCCTTTGTCTCTGTCTGTCTCTGTCTCCCTCTGTCTCTGTCTTCCCATCCGACTTTCTTGGACTGTCTCTCCCTGAATCTGTCTCTGTCTCCCCCTCGTCTGCCTCAGTCTCTCCACCTGTGTCCCCCCTTCCCACCTCTTGTCTCTGTCTCTCTTTCCCGCCTCCTCTTCCCCAGCCTCTCCCTCTAGCACTCCCACGCCCAGAATTCGCTTTCCATTCTTTGGAGACAGCCAGGGGACCCTTCGCGACGTGACCCGGCAGCAGGCCCCACGCAGGGCAGACTGCAGGAAGGACTTCCCGCCGCGGCGCAGCGCCCGAGCTTTATCGCTTGGGCCAGGCGGAGGCCAGGCGGCCCCGCGGCTTCCGGAGCGCCGGGGCGGGATGAGCTCACTGCAAGTTGGCTTGGATTTCATCAGCTTCCTCTGGCGGAGGCGCCCCCGCTCCGCTCCAGGCGCGGGCCGCGCGGCGCGTCCGCCGGGCAGCTGCTGCCCCCGGGCGGCGACAGGCGGGAGCGCAGGCGCCGCGCGAGGAGCCCGCCTTGGCTCCGGGTGACCCGCGCTCGGCACGCGGCGAGCGGGCCCAGACCCACAGACTCGCGTCTGCAGCCCCGGGTCCGACTGGGGGCGTGAGGTCGGAGAGGGGAAGCCGGCCACCGAAGGTCACATGCCTGCTGATCCCGACCCAGCCTTTCTGGGCTTATGAAATGGGGGGCAGGCGGGGTGCTTGTCACCCCCAAGATGTCAGTGGGCATTTATTCTTCCATTCATTCATTCATTCATTCATTCATTCATTCATTCATTCATTCATTCATTCATTCAGAGTCTGCAAGCGAGGCCCCCTCTGTGCCAGGCCCTGGGGACACCGCTGTGTGCAAAACAGACAAACATCCCGCCGTCCTGGGCCGACACCTGGTCAGGGACACCCTGGTCGGGGACCATAAAGCACACAGACAACACCGAGTGTGTCTCCAAGCGGGAAACAGGAGCAGGGCGGGCTCAGGAGTGCTCGGGGAGGGTCTCATGACAAAGTGGCATTCGAGTAAAAGCCCCAAAGGAGGAGGGGGAGGGAAGAGCGCTTCCAGCCGAGGGAAGAGCAGGTGCGAAGGCTCCGAGGCCAGAGTGGGCGTGTCTGGGATGGTGAAGGGACACCGTGCTGGAAGGGCTGGAAGGGAATGAGCGAGGGCAGGGGGGCGGCAGGGGAGGCGGGAGCCCAGGCCGGCCTTTAAGCAGAGCAGGGATGCACGCTGACGTGGACTCTAACGGGCGCCCTCTGGCGGCCAGGTGGGAGACAGGCTGCGGGGCAGAGAGCGGGAAGCCCAGGGACACTGTCACGCCTCATGGCTGGAGGTGGCGTCCACTG